AAGGGAGCTAGAACACTCATAACAGGATGTTGTCCCAAAGAAGGACCTCCTCAGAACCTGCCATTAAATTTCTTTTCGCTCTTCCCAGTTTTGCTGTTAATCTATTTTTTTTTTTGCCTCTGCTACTGATGTTCCTCTAAAGCTTGGCAAGATGCACTTATGTGGGTATCCATTCTTACTGCTCTCATTGTAAAATTTAAGACAATGTTGGGAGTCTTACAGACATCTGTAGGAAAAAGATTGTTACCTAGTTACATATCTCAAAAAACTTAGATAGGCATATACCTAGTTTATATAGAGTGCTGTGTTAGAGGCAGAGCTTTTAAGAACAGCGTTGCTGTAGAATGTGCCTGCTTGCCATTCTCATCTAGGGAGGGATGGAGAAGGAGCAGAATTTGAACTTTCCATAGGAAGTCAAAATTGTGGGTTTGGTTCTGATCTCAAGCCTGTTCTTTACGGGAATTTTGATATATTCAGATATTAGTGCATGTGTAAGTTAATTAGATTTATTTTTTTCCAGAATAAAGAGCTGCCTCCTATTATAGGTAGTAAGCGATTTCTTATAGACAGTCCTCATTTTGATTTGGACTAGACTAATGTCTCCCAAGTTAGCCTGAGGATTTCCTGTGGATATCGAGCTCTGTGGAAAGAACAGGGTTGTTTGTGGGACAAGTGGACAGATGAACTCTAAAGACTTGTAGCCAAGGTAAGAAGGACAGGATGGAGAGCAGAAAGAGAAGTTGATTGTAAAGGGGTAAATAACATACTTTGGATATGACTTGGATCTGTATGGAAAAATACACAACACTGTTAATTATCATACTGAGTACCTGAATTGCAACAATAATTATATAGAGGAGTAAGGGCAATCTTTTCTGTTACATAGCACCAGTTACAGTGGGGTACCTGTACCACACAAGGGGCTCAAGACAGCGTGAGAAAATGAGTACAGGAAAGGAATAATAGCTTGTGTCTTTTGGAGGGAGAAACGGAAGAGGAAATACAGAGGAAACCGAGAGTTCAGGTTTGCCAGTGTTAAGTTTGTTTAGACTGAAGTACCTGGTGGGTAACTCATTGTGTACATCAGCTTCAGTCTTCAGTTATGTCTGTGCAAAACTATGTGGACACTTTCACTTTAGAGTAAGTGCCCAGTATCATTTTGTTGTGTGTTGGTAAGCACTGATAAAATTATTGGAAAAATTTTGTGAGGAAGCTTGTGTAGCAACTGTGAGGCCGCTAGTTTTTTTTCCTTAAGGCCAGATGGATAATTTCTCATGTTGGGTTAGTATGTGTAATTGCCTTCTTTTAAAAAAAGTAGCTATTGCATTGATTTACATAGTTGCCATCTCTCCATCTATTACAGTTCTAGTCTAATCCTTATCTTGTGAGCTTTACAAATTAGGTCAAAATGTCTGACCGCCCATCACTCCTGAACAGATGAGCTTGTGAGTTGTACTTCTTTTAAGGTGTAAAGTGCATATGTTGCACTTGACCGTTGAAATCATAACTGGTAGCAAGCCTGTTCTTTTTCTTTTTACCCAATAAGACACCCTGTGGTCATCCCTGTTTTTCTAATTTGGACTTGTTGTGGGATTTTTTTCTGTTGAAGAAGAATCAACTTATTTGTCTTCGGTGGAGCTTTGTTCAGTGATGTTAATGACCCTACAACACTGTGACAATAACACACTTCACTGTTGAGCACTGATAGGATAAGTGAATGAAGCTACTGAGGACTCTGGCAAGCCACGTGCACAGCAGTTACAGCAGAGGTCTACTTAACTTCTCCCTGTACTGTAGCTAGATGCCATGATAACTTCTTTAATAGTCTTGAGTACAGAATATATGTTGAATTACAGCAGTTACCTCCGTGATCAAAGACATTAAGCCCTTCACACCTCAAATAAAGAACTTTGTGGACAAAATAATTTTTCTTCCTTCCCTTTGTTTTTCTAACAAAGAAGGCATCAGCTGTTACTGCCTTGAAAGCAGATAAAAATATCCCTACAGAATGAATTCTCTTAAAAAAGCTATAGGACTTATGGGGGAAATGCATGCATATACACAGAAGCACATGGTTTTCAATTTGCTATTCACCAAACTCCACGTTTTTGTGAAATATCAGATGGGTATGCTCTCTTAAGTGGTGTCTTGCATTGTGTTTAGTTCTCTAAAGCCTCTTGGGAATTAAAATGCCTCTTAGTGTGTGTTAGATTACCAGAAACTGATTCTAAAATAGCTACTTTGTAATGATACTAGGAGCAGGGAGATCTTAGGAGCTAAAATGATGGTAAATTCCGTATCAGTTTTAATGAAAGGATTATAAACCTCTTAATGTATATTCTGTTTGTATATTATCAAAATTTTTTTAACATTAGAATTTTAATTAGTTTTATTATAGATTTAGATAATTTTAAACTGTGTAATACTGTTATCTCAGTTATTTAGAACTATATTGTTTTCTTTTTTAAAAAGTAGCTATCTTTATGGCTATAACTATGTATAATAGGTGAGTGTATGGATCTGTGTATAATTTTGTTATTGTGACGTCTGCATTTCCTTCTGTTGAGTATGTGAATAGCTTGAATGCATATCTTGGCAAAGGCAAAGGAGGTAAAAAGATTGTTCATCTTAGTAGATTCATATTATTTTAATTTAAGCTTCAGTTCCATTACTTTTTGATTAAACATACTTCTATCTGATGCTATCCATCTTTTATCACTATGAAATCTGCTCCCATGCAGAAAGAAGGATGACATCTGAATTATGCAGAAATCATTTTCTATCTATTTTTCTTCAAATGCTGGGCAGTCTTTTTCATAATCCCACAAAGATCGCATGTGACTTGGTCTAATCCTCTACCTATTTCTGAATATTCAGCTGTAAAACCTTAGTCTTTTACTGTATGTTTTTATGGTAGTGTGTTGTCCTGGATGTCATTTGCATCATGTGTAACTCCAACTCCTGAATAAAGGGTGAAGAACGCTATTATCATTAGCTCTGAAACACTTTTGACTATTAGTTTTTAAAGTGATGTTGCAGTTCTTGCGTTTCTAAGTATACCTTAAAAAACAAACAAAAAATAACCCTGCTTTGTTGGTTGAATCGCTATGAATTTTATAAGATAGCTTAGACCACAAATAGGTCACAACAGTAAAATAGATAAATACCATATATGAAGAATTCATTCATAATTATACACTGACTTGTTTGAGTATGTGATTGATTGGTTTTACTATTTGTATAATATGATTCACAAAAATAGTAGTAACATACAGTACTGCTTGCGGGAGTGAAATGTACGATCTTCTCCAGTAAACCAAATAAAATCTCATCATTAGCGGTCATCATTAGCCACTTTGCTGGTGAGCAAAAACTATTTAGCACTGTTGTATGCAGTTGAGTACACTACAGTTGCAGGGGTTGGTTGTGTCCTTAAGCCAAGTATCTCCTGTGTTACTAACCTTTATAGATAGCAATAGTCTGTCTGGGTGAATGAGAACCCCCTGCAGGCAAAGCCTTCCCTGCTGGGAGAGGAGCAAAGAATTGGATCTGCCTTGGGTCACCTAGTGAGCGTTCTGGTGCCTTAGCTTCATGCCAGCTTGGAGAGTAGGATATAGAACAGGAAAGCGAAACCAGAAAAGCAAGAAATAGAAAAGAAGAAGAAACAAAATCAGACCAACAAGAGTTAGTCTTGGGTTTCTGGCTAGTTGGCAAAATGGCTTTTCTTTACCAATCAATCCTCTTTGGTTTTTGAGGATGAGAGAGGACTGGCAGATGTTTCCTGGTAACTGCGCTGTGCAGATTCATGGGGAGCACATAGGCTCTGTGGTGTGTTCTTCTGGCTGTGCACATAAACTGCAACTTCTTGAGTGATGGCTTTTCTGCTGTCCAGAAGAGAGTTCTGGAGGTATTCCTGAGACTGAGAGATCAGAGAGATGGGTAGTAGTAGCGTAGGACACAATAATAACAATAGAAAAAGATAAATAGAGGGAGGAGAGCTAAAAGACAGGAAAAAGTGAGAAAGTGAGCTGCATTTTACTTCATCACTCACAGGGATCATTCCTTGCATTTTCATCTAGCTAAATCCATGTCATCAGGGACAAATCTTACGCTTGGTATTACTTATCCTGTTGCCCTGCATATGTGCTGAGTTTTTCAACCTCAGTGTTTTGTTACTGGTTGATTATACTGACATTCAACCTGGTTGTCTGGAAATCTGCCTGGTGGACTCAGAAGGAAATAAAAGTACTTCATTGTTTTATAGAACCTACCATCTTTTTTCCCAGCCTTTCCTTTTTTCATTTTTTCTGTGAGAACAGCCATAGATTTTTTCAGGAAGGTAAACTCCTATATATTTGTACAAAACAGGTAGCAGAACACTTTATTGAAGTAATGAACAATGTTGAGATAGGACATAAATGTTAATTAATCATTAATGACATCTAAATGCACAGCACTACAATTTCTTTCAAACCTTCGTGAACCATTCTAGGTCTTAAGTGACATATATGTTCTTATTTTACTAGGGATACCTACTTTGTATCCTCTGGCCATGTTAATCCGTGCTTTGACTACCTAAACCGTGTACAGCACTCATTGTTTCTACAGTTCTAATTCTCTGTACTTCTCTACTCCTAATGTTAGCCTTGTCTGTCCATGGTGCTTTCTACAACTTGGAGCTTTTGCTTCCGTCAAAGACAACTTAAGATCGGACTCTTTCAAATGGAAGCTAAACTTGTTAGCTGTTTTTAATAATAGGCAGAAATGAACAAATTGTTTTAAATGAGCAGGAAATTATGGTGTATACTTAGTCTTGCATATGTAAAAATCTGATTAGCTTGCAAATACTCATAGTGGTACTTTCCCTTGCTTTCTAAAATGAATCTTTAGAAACAAACACACATTTTAAATAAATATTGGAAGGCAGGAGGTAGAAAATTGTTACCTGAAAGGCATCCTCATGATATATTTATTACGTTTGCTTATTTTTCCTAATATAGGTGTCCGCCTAGACAGAGTACGTGGAGGTCGCCAGAAGTACAAACGCAGAATAGATGCAGAGAATAGCCCATACCTGAACCCTCAGCTAGTTCAGCCAGCAAAAAAGCCATGTGAGTACACCAGATATACAAAATTTCTCTCTGAATACAAAGTATTAATTCCTAGCCCTGTTTGCTATGCTCCTTCTGACTGGGACAAAGGTTTGGTCAGAAGACACTATATCCATTTAACTGTTAACATATTTTGTTTTAAATATGCTCATCTTTCTCAAGTGGAGTTGAACAAAGAGTATTTTTACAGGTGGAAGTGTATAAAAGCATGGTTTATGCAGTGCAAATTTTACATTTACAGGTTATCTTTATTTTCAGTGGTACATAAAATGGTTCATACTGTGATCATTAGTTCATTGAAGCTTCTAGTTTCAGATTTCACAAGAAAGTGATTTTTGTAGTTTTCACTAACTAAATGAGTTTGACTGCTCAACCTCCCAATGAAAATACATTAAGAGCCTCATTAATTTATACCTATAGATTAATACACTAGCTAGCATTAGATTAAAACAGCAATATGCCACACTAATAACAAGCATAGATTGGTAGTTTGGGCTCCAGTACCCTCATGGATTTTTTTGCTTTGTTTTGTTATGTTTTAATAATGTCCTTGATTGTATCTTGCTGGGCTGAAATTGAGAGAGAGAGAGAGAGAGGAAGAGATGATCATCTCATTGCTAAAATACAAGTTCCATCCTCTTTGCGATTAACTAAAAATAGTTAGGGGTTTTGCTTTGCAGCTTATATAAACTCAAGCAGCGACTGTACTAATTCCATGAAGTAAATTTAATAGCATTATAGCTGTAGTGCAAGAGCTAGTGTATTACCCTGCAAAGACATACACACTGTATCAAGTGTTGTAAACTCTTCCCATTTCAAATGAGAATATGCTCCTGCCGAGGTTAATTTGTGCCTAAATCAGAGAAATAAGCTGGCAAAATAGGAGGGCAAGCTCCTCCTGGTCTCCCATTTGCCTCTGCCCCTATGTCTCTGACGACACATGTGTCAGTTTTAGGCTCTTGTAAATACCTGGCTGTATGGAAAATGGAATTTGTTTCCATTTGTGTTCCCCAGTAGGGGACGGTGCTGTGTGCGGTACGTTTGAGCATATGGGGATCTGGAGAGCAAATAAACAGTCTTTGAACTGTAAGTGAAAGGGCATTTTAGCTGTGTCAAAGAAAAAACAGCCAGTTTTACATAAAATTAAGGCTTAAGTGAACATATGGCATAGTTTCCTTTTGCCTTTCCAAAAAACATTATGCTGATTATATTCCTTCAATTGTCCAATCTGGCATCTTCTACTCAGCCTCCATAAGCTGTCCCACTGTTCTGTAAATACAATCTAGGGCTGCACTAAGCAGATTTTGCACATTATAATAAAAACTTTCTGATAATACAATAAAATTTAATAAACTCTAATGCTTAATTTCATTAGAGGTTTAGTTTTCCTGAGTACACAGATTGTCAGTTTTTCATTTACTTGATATTGTCATTGAGTAGAAATGTTGATAGCCTAGCATATCAAAAAAGCCAAGACCAAACAAAAAAAAAAAATCCAAACCCCGAGCCCTTTAACTTGAACAGAGGTTCTTATTAACTGGAATGCAAGAATCTCTGTGTAAGCCCAAGATTACTGCAAAGTAATGCATTACATTGCCTTTAAGACGATATCTACACCAATTTCTATAAGCTCCATTTGTCTGAGATAAACTAGCCTCCATATACATCATTACTCATTATCTGAGTGCATCCCTTCATTTTCCTTAGCTTGTCCAATTATAAACATTTTTGTAACAAACATTTATAAAACTTAATTTTCAGATAAATGTCAAGACTTGAAACAATTGAATTGGTTTTGTGTGGAAGTAGCCTGGGAGATTTTCTGGACCCTGACTGATAGTTTGTGCATAACAGAGGCACAGGAATGAAAATTGGGTCCTATTGATTCTAATTAGGGAAACATTAAATAAGATTTACTTAGGAACAGTGCTTATGGCTATTCAATTTCCTGAGTGATGGAGCTTTCTGAGTACATTCAGAATTTTCCTATAGTCTGTATTAATGTGCGCTCTAATACATGCAGATTTTTCACCCTGTAGAGAAGAAACAGGTGTTTGAAGGATCTTTCCTACACCTACTTCTGGTCTCTATTGTATTTTCTAGCCTTCACCATGGAATCTAATGCCCTGCCTATAGATCTTGTTGACTGCAAACACTAAAAGAATTTGAGATTTTGCAAATCCTGAGTTGAAATATACACTATTCTTGAGTCATCTACAAAAAGCCATTGGTGAGGAACCTAATAAAAAAATAAAAGAGGTTCTTTGACCATTTCTCCTTCTTGCAAGAAAAAAACAAACACAAAAAACCACAGAATATGGGGGTGTGAGTGCTTCTTCATTCATTTATCACTAGTTAAAAAACCACAAAGATGAAGTCCTCGGCTGCAAATGTTTTGATGTCAAGAAATTCTAATTTATTTATCCTAGTCTTCAATACATGTGAAAATACTAGAATTGAGGAAGAAGCAATGTTATCTCTTCTCACTTAAAAAGGTTATGTTTTCTGTGTGAAATTAAACAGGATATGAAAAGACTGTTTAAAAAATAAAAAAAACTATGTGCAAAGACTCTTTGCCAGTATAAGTTAAAATTACCATCTGTCATCTTTAAATGAGAATAGAATTCCTCATTAATCAGTTTGATAATCAGTAGAATATTGAGATCAAGAATTACTCAGTTGGCATAGTTTCTATAGTTCATATAAAGCATGAATATATCTCCTTGTAATAAAACATGCTGGATGTGATGGTTTCCAGTTGGCTCTTGCACTTATTTTATGAAGGGCTAACATATATCAAAACCTCTGACACACAAATTTGGAATAAGGCAAAAATTGTAGAAGCAGTAGATCAAAATCCAGGAGTCTATGTCACAAAAGAGCAGTAAAGTATCAGAAATCTGAATCAAGTGAGTATTTTATGGAAATCTGTCATGGGCTGGTAAGAAGCCTCTCTGACACTTGTGGGCAAGTTACATCCCCATCAGCTTCCACTGCAGCTTCCCCACAGGAGGACACTGTGGTCCATCCTGATACTTACATGCAGAAGGGGAAAATGCTACTAATTCTGGCAGCTTTCTCTACAGTCAGAAAATACTTTGCACCTTCTTACAGTGGAATCCTGTTTATGTCAAGTGCCATACCTCTTTATCCTAACGAGGGGAACAGACAGGTGTAAACTCACTAAGGGGTGGCATTTGGGCTTTAAATACTGGTGGTGCATTCAAAGTCACACGATGTACCTACCATGAAAAGCGAAATGTAAACATATTGGGAAGCACAGTAATGTATCCTGTCTTAGGAGACTTCCTGAATTAATCCTTTTCCCATTTTTCAGTTCTGCCTTCTCAGAGTAACAAATCGAGCTCCTGCATAGACATACTTCCTTCGTACCTCTACATGAATATAATGATCACTTTATGTTTATCCTACTTACAGAATATAGATTAGTAACACAGTATTGTAAATCTTCCAGGCTCTTCAACTCTTTTTTTTCTCTACACTCTTCCTTATGACTTAATTGATTATTCCAAACAGATTTCACAAATCACCTGGATGAAAAAGTCAATATTAAACACATGAATGAAAATGCTATATAGATAAAAATAACCAGTACGTGAGTATGATAAAGTATCATTCTTTATGCAAAGACAGTTTGCTGAGGTAGAATCTGCATCTATTGATACTTTTCTTAGTGTTACGCTCTTTATCCTCCTTGATTTTAGTAACTGTTCCTGGCTGGAAGTGAGAGGAGATCATTAGTCTATTTTTGTACTTAAAAGAAGCTAATTTTACAAGTGATTCCAAATTTTTATGTTTCACTGAAAAGCAAATATAGGACAACATGCCACTTTTCTCAAAGCATAGGACCCAAGGAGCACAGATTCATTCTTAACATTTCAACAGGCAAGATACATGTAAGATATATGGGATAATGAGCATTAAGAAAGCCCTGAGACCGTTTTTGTTGCAACAGTTTAACAGTGACATCTGAAAGTAAAGAATGGTACTTCTGTAACGTAAGTTACAGATTTCAGTGACTGACTAATAGCCTGTGGCATTTACTCAAAAAATACACCTGCCTTTGGGAACAGGGTGGAGGGTGTTGCAGGTAGTTAGAGAAAGCAAAACATTTCTATTTGCACAGTCCAAAGTATTTTATAATACATAGATGTTTTTCTACAAGGTTTGTATTCCAGTATTAGGAGGTCATCAAGTCTTTCTACATTCCGTTAAATTTACTATCTTAAGAAAAAGCACGTCTAGCTTGATCAGCATTGTAAATAGATCGGATCTATTTGTGCTGTAACCACTTGTAGAAGCCACTGGAGTTACAGTAAGGTTTAATTCGGTCCAATACCTTAAGACAAATTCTTGTGCACTTTGAAATACGAGCCATCTGTTTGAAAAGTAGAATTGATGCTACTGGTGATCTTGTACTGTTCTGGACCATCTTTACAGATAACAAGATTGTCTCCCATTTGCTGGTGGCTGAACCAGAGAAGATCTATGCTATGCCTGACCCCACTGTTCCAGACAGTGACATCAAAGCACTGACCACTCTTTGTGACCTGGCAGACAGAGAACTGGTGGTGATCATTGGATGGGCTAAACATATTCCAGGTACGTAGAGTATTGATTGCAAATAGATGACATACAGTAATCATCACATGGGTTTTTCTGTTCTGGCAAAAGATATGATTTGTGCTCTCACTACAAAGCATGAAGTCTTCTTAAGGCTCCAGATCATTCACATAGGACGTTTGCCCAAAGAAGCTCCCTGGAAATATTCAAGGCCAGGTTGGATGTGGCTTTGAGCAACCTGATCTAGCAGGAGGTGTCCCTGTCCATGGCAGGGGTTTTGGAACTAGGTGATCTTTTAGGTCCCTTCCAACCCCAAACCGTTCTATGACATAGCTTCCTTGACAATATATCTTACCTTGGAATTGCAGTATTATGAGTGTTACTGTGTTAGTAAGTTTTACATGCTGCTCAGTGAATGAATTTTTTCTTGAATTGCTTTTATTGAGATAAACTTACTTTGCTATCCACAGCATTAGCCTGGTAGGAAGGGTAGTGTAAGCCCTCTCCTCTGTTCTCATCTGATTCAGTGGTAGCTGAGTGTAAGTCTGGTTCCTATACTACATAAATGCAGTACTATCTAATAGTAACAACAGGAGGTGCAAACATTCAGTTATACTTTGGCATGGCACAGAGAAATTGTTCTCTTTGTTAAACGAGCTAGTGTGAGAACTGAATTGTACCTGCAGGTCAGTAGAACGAACTGAATTGTACCAAAAATGACAGCCGGCTGAATATGAGCCAGCAGTGTGCCCAGGTGGCCAAGAAGGCCAATGGCATCCTGGCTTGTATTAGAAATAGTGTGACCAGCAGAAGAAGGGAGGTGATTGTCCCTCTGTACTCAGCACTGGTGAGGCCGCACCTTGAGTATTGTGTTCAGTTTTGGTCACCTTAGTATAGGAGAGATATCGAGGTGTTGGAGCGAGTGCGGAAGAGGGCAACAAAGCTGGTGAAGGGCCTGGAGAACAGACCTTATGAGGAGCGATTGAGGGGATCTCATCATGCTCTACAGTTACTTGAAAGGACATTGTAGAGAGGTTGGTGCTGGTCTCTTCTCACAGGTAATTAGGGACAGAACCAGGGGGAATGGTTTCAAGTTGCAACAGGGCAGGTTTAGGCTGGACATTAGGAAGAAATTCTTCACAGAAAGAGTGGTCAGACACTGGAACAGACTGCCTAGGGAGGTGGTTGAGTCGCCTTCCCTGGATGTGTTTAAGTGTCGCGTAGATGTGGTATTGGGTGATATGGTTTAGGGGTGAACTTGTAGTGTAGGGTTAATGGTTGGACTCGATGATCCCAAGGGACTTTTCCAACCTGAATTGGTCTATGATTCTGTGAAAAGGACTCTTCTTGGGCTTAGTAGTTCTTTGGTCTGCATGAAATGGACTCCACTCTATATCACGTAAATGCGTTGATATTCTGAAAGCTGACTGGCACTCTTGTTAGCAAGAAAAGTAAGTGTCATCAAAAGTAGTTCCTCGGCAAATTAGTGATTTCTTCAGATAACATTTGAGGTGTATTTTAGTTTCCCCCTGTGCTGAGGTATTTGTGCTTGCTTAGTGAGCTAGAGACAAGCTGTGCAGAGAGTCTCCAGGGTTCTCAGTCTGTCACCTTTCTCAAATGGTAAAGGCCCACAAAAAGGGTTGTCTTTTTTTCTTGTTTCTTACAGTATTTTTGTAGTCCAGCAGATGAGTGAACATGTTGATGTGTTTTCATCAGCTCGTTAGTTTTCTAATTTTCATAGTGGAGTCTTATTGAGCATAAGAACGGATAACGTTTAATTCATCTGAGTAATACATCATCCTCATTTTCGATGTGATTTTGGGATACCTTAATAGCAGAATAAATAATGCAATCAGTTGTTTTTTATCACAGTTAAATATATTTTATTTCTATTATCAAAAGAAATTGCAAAGATATAGAAATAGACTTCCTATCTTTTTTCCCTTGAGCTAACCAGCACAAGGCCACGGTTCTGGTGGGTGCTTCTGGGTCATCTTGGATAAATACAAACAGAAACAAAGAATAATAATACAATTATTTTTACATTTATTTCCCTTCAGATGAGAGACAACAGCTGACAGACTCTAAAATAGTCAGTATGCGACACAGTTGAAATTTAGTCGTTCTCTGTGGCACAAACGGTGTGTAAACAAGCTTTTGTATCACAAGCAATGTTTTTCTGGTACAGTTAACTTATTTCTCTCTCCTTAAACTAGTTTGTCTTTATGCTTTGAATGCTACAGTAATTTCTTTAATCAAATTGATGGAAGTCCCTTTCCCAGCCCACACTGAAACCAATTTATTGGTCATGATACGCCAGCTATGTTGCTAACAGTCGTAACGAACTGTCAGGCAATATCGCAGTGAAGCTAATTTGAAGTCATTAGGTGTGCAGCATTCAGGCAACAATTTGTTACAGTGGTTAGGAACACAGCTGACATTTCTGAATGGCTTTGTTCAGAGCAGTTCTAGATGAGCCCAAGCAAATTGTAAACTAATTTAAACATCACTCTATATTATACTAGCTACTTTGTCTTACACTGATTGCTAATAAAGCACCCCAAATTAAGTCAGAATGAGTTAAATCAGTGAGTTTGAGCTTCATCTTTAGAAGATACCTACACCACCTTAACCAAAATAGAGTAGCTTTCAGTCGGTTGTGCGCCACAGTAGTTGCAGGGAACGTTTGCCAGTTTGATTTGTGAATATGCTGTGTAGCTTTGATTTGATTGGAGCAGTAGGAAAAGCAGAGGGATGAGTCTGAGCAGACCTGAAAATGATGGCTTTGGTTAGTGTGGAAAAGGTACTAGATGCTGTAAACTGGTCTTGAAAATTTAAAGTCTGCAGTCTGAACCAGGAATATTTGTGCCACGAGGCAGCCTTTTATTACAAGGTAAACTCAAAACCACACCTACTGTGGTAAAGCTGTACTAGCTAAGTTCACTCACCTGAATCCATTCGGGAATGAGAAGGAAAAAAACAAACAAACAGGAAGGAAAGTCAATCTTTTTATAAGCCTTCTGGTAACAAGAAGGTAGTGATAAAATTTGTGCTTGTTGTCTGGCATTCGATCACAAAAATCAAAATCCAAAAGGGCTTGACTTACTAAAGGGCAAATGTCATGAGCTATTGTTAGCTTGGTTTTGAACGATGGAGTACTACTGAACTTGTACTGCCTACGCTCAGTTAATGTCTGGCACAAAAAACTTCTAGAGGAGCCTAAATTAGTGCTAGCCAACTGTTTTCTAAGCCAGCAAATGTTAATGTAGACAGAAACATAGCAGAATTGGAAAAAGGATGAGTTAGAAAAAGGGTGCAAATCACATAAAAGTTCAGCATAGCTTAGTGAACTGAGTAAATCCTTGGTGTAAATTTCTTGGAATCGATTAATTATACCAGTAGTGAATTTGTGCCTAGCACAGCAAAGCAGCAATCAGCATATCTTTCTTTACTATAGCGAATTCTTAAGGTTCACTGTAATTAAAAGCCTTTATATATCAGGTGCTTAATAACTAATAAAGATCTCCGCTGTAGAGTATTGCAGTTCAAAGTAGAATTTGCCTTTGTGGAAGAAACCAAAATAATGTTTTTGCTATTCTAATAGAAAGTCTTTTAATGAGATTATCTACAAAAAGGTAACAATGCAATATGCATTCTGCCTTGGCCAACCATTTCCTATTGCAGTCGTAGACTGAAAAATGTTTTAAAAATACACAAAGTTCAAATGCTTTCAAAAAATCATTAATATTTTTGTGCTATTGGAAACATTTCAATAGTTGCTTTTATTGAACAAAAAGTCTGTGCCATCTACAAAAGGAAATATTGAAAGAAAAATACATATGGAAAGTCTTTATCAGTAAATAGAATTAGCCTCCTTGCATTTATAAATCAAATAAATGGCAAGTATGTTGTTATGAAACATGACCATGTCTTATCTGAAGAAGAAAAAGATCACAATGGCATTAGGAAATGCTTGACTTTAGTTAGAGGAGCGTAAGGGCACAAGAACAGATGATGGTGCCCTAATAGCCCTTTTTAAGAATGACAGGGCCCCGCCATTAGCATCCTTTTATATCCTTGGAAATTGCTCATGCCTCGCTTTTCTGGTTCCTATCTGCCTGACTCTTTTTTATTTCTCTTTCAATTTCATCCGCGCTCGGATAAGCGCATGCTAACACAATATGATTGAGCTGTAAAATGGAACGCTGTCGCCTCTAATCTCTTTTATGTAGATATGGAGGTACTTCCACACTCCACTTCATTCTCTCTCCATTGTTGGCCTTTTTAGAATGTGTTGCCGAGTAATGGAGGCTCAGTCAAATATTAGAGCTAGGTTTCACAGGGTGTGATAAGAAGATTATCAGCCCAGCAGTCAGATCTATTGTTGTTCTTTGTGTCGGATTAAAATATTCCGATGTACTGTAACTTTGTTAGTAAAATACTTAGGGAGAGGTTGATGCCACTTCGTCTCCTGCCCTATTAACTGACCTAAATAAATTATAAATATATTTATGAAGCCTCCGCAAGACATTTTATTTTATTTTATTTTATTTTTTTAAATTTTATTTCGTTTTGTTTTATATAAGAGAGCCCTGCTTAATTCACTGTTTACCAGTGGCTGAGTTTTCTACCCTTTGCTTTGTATTTTGGGGAGATTCCGTTTTATATCAGTTGCATTATATTAATTAAACTCTGTTCCTATATGGACTGGAATTCTGCTGATACCTAGTCACAGTACCAGAGTCGTTTAGGCACGATTTCTTTAATGTAACTATCTCATTGACATTCAGCAAAAATGTGCAATGTTATTTCATATTAAGTGGAGGCAGGAAACATTAAGCTCTTAAAAAATCTGCATAACAGGAAGCTAAAGACAAAATATTCTCTAAAAAATTTGCATGCATGAAAAAACATCAACCAGACCATAGAAATCAACTTTTTGCACTTAAAATGAAAGATTTGTTTGGAAACAGTAAATCAGACTAATACATCACAAATAACTAGTTACAATTTTTAGCAAAATAAGCCCCACTTGTCTT